TGGAACGCCTGGTGTTGCAGAAGCTTCCAGAGCACTTCCCCCATAGTGCCCCACCCCTTCCGGTTCCTTCTTGGGACAAGCTGTGCGGGTTCTGGGAGGGGAAAGACAGATTCAGCACCCAGGAACGAGGTGCGCTTTCTCTCCCCTTCCTGGGCTGCCCCCAGCTTTCCGGAACCTACCTCCGGACCACACCCGTCACTCAGCCCTTTGTTGGCTGTGGTTTCTTAGCGATTTGGGGCAGTCCAGTTCTGCCGGTTTCCACGGAGCTGCTATCAGTCCTTGGTCATGACCTTGACCCTGATTTACCCGTCTGTGCGGCCTCCTTGGGATGAGCAAATTTGATAGATTTGAATGCACAGAATAAGCCACAGAATCTGGCTTCCAATGTGTTACATATATAGGGTGTTTGAGATGCCAGTTGACCTAAAAGCTTTTTGCAAAAAAATCTTAAACGTATATATTGTAAACCAGGCCAGTGGCACGTCTGTCTTTTTCAGGTGATCCTCATAGGCCTTACAACCTTAACCTCGATAAAGCCAGCTTCAGGGATTTTTGTTTTTATGGTGCATCTTCTGCTCTGGTGAGAAGTGCCCTGCACTCTAGTTGAAAAAGCGGCCAGTAGGAAAATCTGTGTGCCTGTCCATCAGAGGTGTGAAAGGACTGATGAGCCAGTTTAAGATGTTTTGTCTCCTTGGAACAGTTTTCTGTTACCTGGGAGCCCATTAGCAGCACATGAGGAGTCTTCAATAAAACCACTTTTATGGCCATTGTTTTCTTCTTTATTAATAAGCTGTGCCCCAGCCAGGTGATGAGAGGAACATGTCCTAAGAGTCATCGCACTTTATCGACCTGTGTTTTTTTATAGCTTGGTATTTTCCCCAGAGGTCAGTTGCACTACGGACTGTGCTGGTGTGGTGAGGGGCCTCCCCCGCCCCATACCTGACACCAGCTCTGACCGTGTTCCTCCCTGCGGTGCCTCCCCTGCCCTGCGGCACCACGGGGATGAGAATGGACCCAGCCTCTCCGTCCCCCAAGGGGTCACCGATACACGCGGGGAGCTTGGTTATGCTTGAAATTCAGACGAACAATGGATCATTTTTTAGTGTGTGTCTCAGGCAGTATTGGGGAAATACTTAAAATGTATCTGTTGCTTATCTGATATGCAAATGTGACCATGTGTCCCCTGTACTGCTTGGCGGTCCTGCTAGGAAGTTAATAATTAAATTATTATCCCGGGTGTTTGCTTTTCCCATGGACCTGCTGACGTTACTCAAGCCCCTTATTAAGGTCTAGTCTCTCCACTCAGGCCTTCGGCCTTGAGCTCCTGGGACCCCTGGAGGAACAGAGATGCAGGTAGTCAGCCCCCTTTCCCCTGCAGACCCATCTGGGGGGGCCTTGTGCACCAAGCTCTGGTGACAGACATGCTGGCTGTGGCCATCACCCCCAAGCTGATGTGAGGCACAGTGGCAGGTACCCTCCTGGTGGGGGCCAAGCGAGGAGGCACGTGGGTAGCAGGAGGGGTGGGGGCTAGAGGACCCCCTTCTTTAGGTTGACAGGTTTGATCCTGGACTTTTGAGTTGATTTTAGCCAGGCATAAATATCCCCAGACCACCTCCACCCTGTTCATTTCTGGAGAGAAGGCCCTGGGGGTTGTGCACACTTTACAGTTCAGACCTGCATGTCCACAGTAGGTCGCCAGCCCAGGGGGTCCTGCTGTAGACATGTTCTGTGTGGCCTGCAAGGTGACCGAAAGCCATGAGTGCCCAGCCCAAGGGTTTGCTTAGAATCTCAGTCTGCAGACCTGGTAATGCTGGCCGCACTCCTGTGCACCAGCGGCAGCCAGAGTTCAAACCCGCTGCCTGGCCGACTTGGGGCACCTGCTTTGGCCCCGTCTGCTGATGCCCACCTGTCCGCTTCTCCGTGTCTGGCTGGCTCTCCTGGGCTCGTGCGTTTGGGACCCTGGGCTCCTGCTTGGTGCCTGTTTGTTGAGTGTCCCCAGTGCTGGGGACCGCAGTGCATGAACGAAGTCCCTGTGTGCTTGGACACTGACAGATGGCACAGACAAGATGGTCATGTGAACCAGCACATGGCAGAAGCTAGGAGGGCTTGAGAGAAAATGAGCCTTTGTGGAAGTAGAGGTGGGGATGCCATTTGGGAGGCCAGGCCGGGATCGCACGTGAGGGAGGTTTCCTGTGTGTGCCCCCCACAGAAGTAAACTGGGACTCAGGAGCGTCTTGCCTGCTGGTTCCACGGTGGGCCCTCCAGACGCCCATTATTCTGCAGACGCTGAGGCCCATGAGCTTTGTGGGGCCAGTGTGGGATGAGCGGTGGGTGGGGTGGGCCTGGGGTCATGTCATTAGCAGGTGCCCTGGCTTCCCATCCGCCCGCCCTCCGGCGGCAGCAGCACCGTGGGAGATGAGGCGGGGAAGAGGCAGCCGTCTGCTGGAGCAGAGCTACCCTGAGCTCAGGCCTGTCGGGGCAGAGGGACACCAGCCCCGTGTCTGTCCTGCCTGCCAGGCCCCCGCCCACCCCCAGTGGCTGCTTTGCTTCTCCGCCTGCCTTTGGGTGGCTGTGGTGCGGCTCTCGGAGGGGCTGGGGTCTCGCTGCCACCCCACCCCCGAGCTCTGAGAGACAGCCTCAGCATGCGGCCTCGCAGAGCAGGTCGGTCAGGATTTCGGGCACCCGTGTTCTTGTAAAGCTCCCCATCCCCCACTGCCCTGAGCAGCCAGCATGAAGAGCCACCGTTCTCATCGGAACCTGGGCCACCGTGGGAAATAATGATCCGTGCATATGCAATTATATATTCATGCAATTTATGTTTATGCCAAGTTCTGTGATAATTACTATGATTATAATATGGCAGATAACTGTTGCTCCTATAACGGTGTCCCGCATCACACACGTATCCCGACCGGTGCCTTGTCGTCACGCCAGGTGCCGCTGCTCGTGCGTAGTGAGTGAGCGCGTCTGCCCTTGCGGCCAGGCCGGCCTGGGCCTCACGCGGTGAGGTGGGGAGACTCAGAGCCGGTCCCTGGCCACGGCCCTGCCCTTGGATACTTGCCAGCTGTTTCATGTCAGTGGTCGGGAAGCATTAAGCTGGAGTTACTAAGGCTGTTAGCGGTGAACACAGGAAGAGCCGTGTGCTCTCAAGTTTCAATTCAGCATCTCACCAGGGTGAACTTTGGAATTTTCAGTTAAAATCTGGGTGATTAGGCTGACCTGCTGCTTGACGCGTTTAAGCAGACCCGTGACCTCTCACTGGGTGGGCTACAGGAGAGCCGAGGAGGCAGAGGAGGGGGCTAGCAGGAATGGATGGACAGAAGGTTCAGTCGGGCCTCAACAAACTCAGGCCCGAAGGCTGGGAAGGCCACGAGGGCCACGCCAATGAATGGGGGGCCTGTAGGTGGTTCTGGGAAGGCCTGGGGAGGACAGGCCAGGCCAGCCACCCTGTGGAGGTCCCCAGAATCGCTGGTTCTCCTGATGGTCACGATAAGTCAGAAATCTGGGTTTTTGTTTAAAATCTCTAGGTCAGCAAAATTTAAAACCTTGTGCAGGCCAAACAAACAGTGTTTCTGGGCCAGGCAGTCTTAACCCCTCCCCCACGTGGATCCTCTTGGTGTTAAGCGTGCCCCTAACCCCAGCCGCGGTCTTGCCGTTCCCTGGGGGAGAAGGTGCATTTCTAGTGGCCCCTCTGCTGGGCTTCGCGTGCGCAGGGTGTCGGGTCCGCTCCCTCTGGAAGTCCAGGTGGAGGCTGGAAGCGCCCCGGTGGCTGCGTCCCACAGCTGACGCCACAGGCCGAGCGGCCGCACCCTTCCAGGGGAGTGTGCTCTCGTTAGGTGAGCTTGAGAGAAATGCTGGGCATCGGCTTTCCCAGATGGGGCACGGGAGGGCACTTGGTGACCATGTCCTACCCCCCATGCTGCTTCCGGAAACGCGAGCACAGGGGCCTCTGCTCTCTACCCTTGCCCTGTCTGCCTGCGTAGGTGGGCAGGGCATTCCTCCTCCTCCCTCCCGCCATCTCTGCTCTGTCGCCCAGTGTTATGTCCTGCGGTCTCTGTGTGTAGGGGTCTGTTCATCCTCACGGAAGGGCGGTGCATGGGTGCGAGGGACCCCAGCTCAGTGTCAGGGTGGCCTTTGTCTCCCGTTGCCCAGGACAGCCCCGTTGTGGCACAGGGAACAACCGTGTAGTCTTCCATTGTGTGTGTGGCCTTGACTTCCTGAACAGAGTTCACGTAGAACTGGAATTGCTGGTTTGGCACAGCACGCCCTCCACAAGCTCCCGGGCACCCCCGGTCCACGCCGGCTTTGACCCTACCCTTTCCAGATCTCCGCCCGCAGAGATGGGGCTGTCAAAGCGGGCAGCCTGTTCCTAGAGTTACGTCTGTCCTCCGTGCTCGCTGACAGTGTGGTCCAGGGGCGCACTGGGCACCCTGACCTTTCACTGCATCTGGTGGTGACAAGCTGCTCTCCCAGCTGCCAGAGTCCCGGGGACCCCCAAGGCTCCGGGCGCCAGGCTCCCCATGATCTGTGTTGGGCTGCCCTCCTGCGTCCGGTCCTGCTGTTTGTCCTGTTTCTGCCCGGTGCCTGTCACTGCTGTGTTTGAGGCAGAGGGCTTATTACTGCACGAGTTTGGAACGGTTCTCACCTGGAGCCTGCATTTCTTCCAGGTCTTAGAAAAGCAAACGCTGGCCTTTTTTCTTATCTTGCTCAGTTCCAATGGCCCCCGCAGGCCTTTGGCTGCTCCCCGTGGGCCATGGTCATGGCCGCAGCTAGTCGGGGCTCCATTTCAATGCTGGCTTTCCCAGCCCCGGGGCCGAGCCCATGTGGCCCCCACCAGGGTCTGGCTCGGGCCGTGGAGGAGGTGCGGTGCCTCGTTACCCACAGAACCAGGACCACAGAACCGAACCTGTGCTCATTCAGGTGCCAGTCCCCATGGCACCCCTAGGTTTTCTTTGTGAATTTTCATGTTTCCGCATTTTCCTTGTCCCCCCTCCTTACAGACGTAGGGCACCATGCCGCGCAGCCCGACGTCCAGTGAGGACGAGATGGCCCAGAGCTTCTCTGACTACTCGCTGGGGTCGGAGTCAGACAGCTCCAAAGAGGAGACCATCTATGACACCATCCGGGCCACGGCGGAGAAGCCCGGCACTGCCAGGACGGAGGAGAGCCAGGGCAACATGCTGGTGATCCGCATCCTGATCCCGGACCTGCAGCAGACGGTGAGCCCGCGTCCACTCATCATCAGGCGCCGCTGGCAGGGCTGGGCAGGTGCCCAGTGCAGGAGGTCTCCTGCCTGTCTGGATCACAAGCCCTTTCTGCCGCAGGCCCGTGTTGGGTGGGCTCCCTTAGCGGGTGGGACTGGGGGTGCCTGGCAAGCCCCTGGTCACCTGTCATCTGTGGCCTCTGTTGGTCATGGTGTGGAGGGCAGACCACCTCACCTTAGGTCTGCATTAAAGGGAGGGGCAGGCAGGGCCGGGACAGTGACGTGACTGAGGATGGACGGCCTCCAGAGCCCTAGGGGGTGGGCTGAATCCACGCCCACCCTTTGTACTGAAGGCAGAGACTAGGAAGGGGACTGGGGACCGGAGGAAAGGCCGTCTGGTCCTGGGATGTTACTTGGCTGTGTCACCCACTTTGCACACATCCAGGGCTTCGTCCCTACTACAGTGGGAGTCTGAAGAGTTGGGTCAGAACCCTGATGGCTGGGTGCCCCTCTCCTGGTGTGAGTGGCTCCAGCCCCCAGGCCCTGCTCTCTCTGGGGAGGCTGACAGCTGTCATCCAGGAGCGAGGTCTGCCAGGTGGGAAGGCTCCGGGTGACCCGATGCCCTGGAGCCGATCTGGCAGCTTGGCAGCCCCAGGTCCACCCGTTGGCACGGCCATGGCTTCTCAGGAGGGCAGGCATGGTGTGACCGTGTTCTCTGCTGCGTCCTTAACCTCTCTGAAAATGTGAGGTGTTACAAAGACTCTGGTCATACGGGGAAGCAGGTGGCAGCCCCCGAAGTGGCTGTGGTTAGAGTCTGGTGAACATTCTAGACGTGTCTCCAAAGGATGGCAGCGCATATGGGTGGGAATACGTGGGTGAATGTAGGCTCGGGCTGCACATGCTGCTGAAACACCCCATCATTAGGAGAGTTTATTTGGATATAAAAGGAGCAAAAATTACCTTAGTAATTTTTTTGCTCCAAGATGACTATTTCCAAAGCTGTAAAGTAAACAGACAGTTCGGGACACTGGAAGCTGGAATCTTTTGCTTTCATTTTGATTGCAGTTTTTTCTCTCCTTTCTTCCTGCTGTGGGGAACTTAGCACTTGCTGCTGGTATCCTGGGGACAGATTAAGCTAATTGTGGTAATGAAAGGCCGCGAGCCTCAGCACTGAACACAGATGCTCATCTCTCCCTGTCATCTCGGTCTCCGGGGATGGCAGGGATGGAGCGGGTTTCTGCTCCTGCAGTCACTCAGGGGTCCAGGTTCCTTCCACCTGGGATCTCTGGCATCCTGTAGTCACCCAGGGGGTGAGGGAGGGAAGGGAGAGAACTCGTGGACCCCTTCCCCCCATTTCCCTCCATTCTTCTGGAGGCTGCACCTGACTGCCAAGGAGGCTGAGAAAGAGGGTTTAGCTCAGCTCTGAACAGTGTGAACAAGAAGCTGGTTGCACGTGTGCACACACGTTCATGCACACATATGCCCCCCTCTCCTCCCCCACCCCGGGTCTTCTTGTTGTGGCCCTCTTGGCATATGCTGACCACCCATTCCACCTCCGTCCTGCTTCGCAGCACAACGGTTGCAGTCGCCCCGTGCATGCCCACGCTGGGCAGACGGCGCCTTTCTTTTCATGTGCCACCTCTCACTGGTCTGGGGCTGGTGGTGCAGTGGTTTTCCAGGAAGCGCTGAGCCCTCCTTCCTCAGTGACGCTGCAGTTGCTTCTTGGTATTTGCTGTCGTTTTGACCTGTAATGTCACCTCCACTGGTGAGTAATGAGCGGTTACCTACAGGGGACGTGCAGGGAAGGGTCCTGCGAGCCTCTGGTTACATTTCCCTCAATGATCAATATGTAACCTTGTTTTGTGTGTGTTTCTGTGCAAAGACATGTTGTGTAATACACACGGTTGATCACTAATGTGGAACTCACACCCGGATGCTTCTCAGTGAACACAGGTGCTTTTTCCACTGGGCGCATGGCAGCCTTATTGTGCTTAGGATCACTAGACAGAACCTCCCCATTGTGCCAGGGGGCTGTTCTTAAACAGCAAAATCACCCATGAACGCACAGATAGGCAGAAATGGGGCACCACCTAGACTGCGGTACGGACACTTGTTTATAGTCTGAGTGGAAACAGGAAGGCAGTGTGTTGCTTTGTCTGACCCCAGCCGGGAAGGCGGATGTTGGGCGACTCGAATGCTTTGTCGCTCTTGGGTTTGTCCGTACCACAAACGTGCCTTGAGTATTGGCTTTGGGGTCACAAAGAGATGTGAGTAAGTAGGCAGCTCCCAGCGCAGAGTCCACGAAGAATGAGACTTTGCCGTGTGCTGGAACGTCTGCTTATTCCCTTGGCTGGCACGTCCTTTCCTCTGTGTGCTATTTTTGCGTCAGAATCCCTACTCCACGTCACCCCACACCCGCGGGGATGCTGTTTGACTGTCTTCTTTTTTTTTTTTTAATTTTATTTTGGTATCATTAATCTATAATTACATGAAGGACATTATGTTCATTAGGCTCCCCCCTTCACCAAGTCCCCCCCACGTACCCCTTCACAGTCACTGTATCAGCGTAGTAAGATGCTGTAGAATCACTACTTGTCTTCTCTGTGTCGCACAGCCCTCCCTGTGCCCCCCACACTATACATGCTAATCGTAAGGCCCCCTTTCTTTTTCCCCACCCTTGTCCCTCCCTTCCCACCCATCCTCCCCAGTCCCTTTCCCTTTGGTAACTGTCAGTCCATTCTTGGGTTCTGTGAGTCTGGGGCTGTTTTGTTCCTTCAGTTTTCCTTTGTTCTTATACTCCACGGATGAGTGAAATCATTTGGTACTTGAATGTGTTTGACCATTTTCTTGCCCTGAACATTGCCTTGATGGCTTTGCATACGTCTTGTTGGTGCCATAATCTTTTTTATTGGTTTCCTAAAGAACCGGCTCCAGTTACAACACTAGGAAGTGTGTGGTGTTAGCCGTTCTGTGTTTCTGGCCTGCAGATCATGTTGGCCCCCCCCTTTCAAGGGTTTCTTCTGTTCTCTTGCTTTTCCGGTGTTCCTGCCGGCACCTCTGTTTCAGGAACAGCAATGACCCTGGTGCTGCCGCTGCTTCTCGGTATCTGCTATCTTTTCTCTAATTGCTTTAATCCCTTGGTGGTTTCCCTCTTTGTTTTCTGCTCTTTTCTTGAGCCTTTCTGTATTGTATTGTTCACTCGGATCCATTCTGTGCTGCTTATTGTGGTTGTATTATTTTGGCTTTCCATGTGTTTTTGTCGCCCTGTGCTTGCTCTTTTTGAAAATTATTGTTTTGAGTTGTTTATTCGTTTACTCGGTTTAATGGCTTCTTATTTTCCTGCCTAGCATAAACAGCACTCTGGGAGATCTTTCTTCTTTTAATTGGGGTGTATTTTCACCCAGAATCGGTGAGTCTGGTTCCTGCATGCCGTCTCGCACCCTTTCTCTCATTTCTTTTCCTGCGGTTTGTCTTTGTTATTTGCCTCCCGTTCTTCCCGACTTGTTCCGGATGTTTGCTAGCACCTTGGCATCTTTCTGTTTGCCCTGACTGCACACAAGGGCGTTTTCCTTGGCCCCCTCGTAAAGGTCCCCGTGATGGTCTCCCCACCATTTGGATGCAGAGGCCCAGGGGCAGGGAGGGTCCAGTCTCCACAAGGCCTGGCCTCCCTCCTCCTTTGGAGATGTTTTTGAATGTTCTGCTCTGGAGCATGGTGCAGGGAGCATGTCCTGTTCTCGTGGGGGGGCACCCCCAGACCCTGGGCACACCCCCCATTCAGCAGGGAGGGTCTGTGCTGGACAGTCAGCCCTGGCTGTGTCCTTTGTGTCCCCCACCCCTTCCCAGCCAGAAGAGAGAAGGACCCTGTGTTCACATCTGTCCATATTTGAGTGTGTTGGTGCAAACGGCATTGGGATTTCGCCCCACCTGAGTGTCCACTTTCCCTGGGCTGTCCAAGAGGTGTGCTCTGGCATTAGGTCATGCCTGTTTCATACTTTTGGGGGTGACTTTCACTATTTGGGGTCACTCGGCCTGACCTGGCTTCAGACCTTCCCAGCCGCTGGATGCTGCCCAACTTGTTGAAAGCCCGTCTGTGGTGGGGGCCCCAGTGGCCCCTGACCACAAGTGCGGACCCCTGTGTGGCTCATCCTCGTGCTGCAGGGTCGTGACCACGCCGCCCCTTACCGCCTGTTGTTGTTAGAGTCAGGAGGGGCTTGGGGGCCTGGGCAGGCACTCCTCTGGGACTTCCAGCCCCAGCCCTGAATTGGGAAGTGCGTGGGGAGGCAGAGCTCTGGAGATCTATGCCGCCCCCCCCCATTCTCACTCACCACCCCGAGGCACCTGCTCAGCCCCGGAGGCACCATGGCCTCCGCTGCACCCATCCTGATGAGCCCGTGTCCTGTAACCACCCCAATACATTCTGAACATGTACCACATGCCAGCCACCATATTAACCTTGTGGGCACCGTGTCACTCAGTTCTTGCAAAGGCCCCAGGAGGCCGGTGTCTCTCAGCATCTTTACTGTGGGATGACACATCCATAGCTGCATGCACACAAGGCATGGTGTCAGATGAAGAGACAGGCGTTGCCCGTGCCCACAGGCCTCAGCAGCACCCTCTCAGCCATGAGTAGGTTTGTGATTGTCCCTGTTAGCAGATGGGTGGCCTGTGACATGCCGTCTTGAGCCTCCAGGCTGCTGGCACTGATGTGTGATGCGCAGTCACTGCCCCACACCTGGGCCTGATTTGCTTCTGCGGCTCGTAGTCCCTTAGGATGGTGGCCGCTGGGCAGCCTGGAGAGGATGCAGCACGGGCGGGGCTCATCCGGGATGGCTCAGGGTCATATTGCCCACACTGTGTGCTTTGGGTGCAGCCCTGAAGGTCTCTGCATGGGGACGCCTGCAGATGTAAAGAGAGCCCGTGCAGGCTGGGCATGCAGCGGGGACCAGCGCGTGCCCAGTAGCTGTGTTACCTCCCCCCATCTCTTTGGTCAAAGCCAGTTGGTAGCACTGTCCACAC